TCGTCCATTTGAGTCCATTATTCTCCCTCATGTTCTCTCTCAAAAATAGACCTCCTTTTAACCAACCTTGGTCAAATATTTACAGATGGAAAGAAAGAAACGGCTGACATGTTGTGATGCTGTCCATGGTGCTGAAACCTCTGTAGACCTAACACTCCTGTGGCTCAATGCAGAGGATGTCGCCTGGTCTCCTTGACCACTTGCTATAGATTTATAGCAACTCTACGTCAGTATGTACAAATTATCTAATTTAGCATTCATATTCCGTATCGTAATGGGATTTTTGAGATTGTAGCAAAACATTAACTTGGTGCATGGTTCCCTTTTTCTGAAATGTTCAATTCTGAATAAGCTATGCAACAAGCACAGATAAGTCAACCCTTTGTGCATGCAACTGGGACATTAGCTTTTTGTTTTAATTCTATTCACCTGGTGACATAATCTTTAGCTCTTTAAGACAGACTGTGATGTTTCCAGCCAATGGCAAGACAAGTTAAAAAAAATCCCAGCTAGACCAACAGGATTACACTTCGCAGGACTAAAATATAGAAAACAGTAGTGGAAGTAGTGATGTATCAACTGCATCTAGAAAGTATGAACTTTAGTTTTTTAAACCGCTGCGTTTAAATCTGGGCTTTCACTTTCTTCAGAACTTCTCAGTATCAAACTGAAGCTGACAGTCTGGTTTGAATAGAAGCAAGAATTTCTCACTGAGCAGTCAAGTGTGAAAAGGTACAGACTCAATTCTGTTCACCGACTGGCTGCCACTGTCAGTTACAATTCAAAAGATGACTGACCGTTAGTCCACTTTTCAGCGATTTAAATACAAATGTACTTCTCTGATGAGTCTGCACTTCTCCTGATCCACTTTGCTCTTCTCCATAAATGCCTCAATATAGTTACGTGACTTTTTATGTAAGTTTGTGTGAATATTTGCAGAAAGCATTCATCAGATGAGAACATTATTCCAAAGGGTTTCATTGATTGGACTAATGCCTACAACTTAATCATGTCACTGACTGCAAATGAGAGCTAGCAGAGACAATGACCATACAGCGGACAATGAATGAATAGAGTCATTCTAGTTTCCTCTCTTCCTAATCGGACTTCTCCCTCTCTTGGTATCAGTCTATCTCTGTTTCTATCTCTCTATGGTGCTCTTCTTGTCCTTTCTTCTCTCTTCCTCCTCTCCCCACCTCTTCTCTCCTCTCTAAAAGATGAAACCAATTTTTCCAGCCCCCACAGGAGACAAATTGCTCCTAATAATCCCTCGTTTCCTGAAGAGGGCCTCTTTCTTTCTTTCCCGCTCAGAGAAGAGACCAGGGCCTTAATGGATATGTGGAATTAAGAGCAACATATTGTAGAGGGCTTGGTAATGATAGGCAGTGTTTTGGTTTGATATTGTTCCTTTGTGAAGATAGAAGCCATGCATTACCACATCACTGGTCTGACTTTTGATTAGAGAGATGGCGGGTGATGCTCTGAGGTGGATTTGAATCATCCAAACAGATCAGACAAAGAAACAATGTATGAAAGCCAGAACAGAGTGCTCTTAATGCTGTTACATGTGAAGATTTGTCTGTTTTGGATGTTCCAAATGTAAATATCCCACACTTCGTTGCATGGTTTTGCTTGTGATATTTTGTTCCCATCCTAGATGGCATTCTTCTCGTTAAGGAGGAAGAACGCAAGCCTGTGTGAAAGTTTTCACATCCCTTTGAAGATCCCACCTAACAATTTCAGTCCTACTTCTTCCTTCCTTCCCAGGACAGGGGGACATGTGCTTTCATCTCAGTGACCCAATGCAGAGACCCCTCTCAGTGACAGGCTCCCTAAACCAACAACCAACAATCAACATCTGGTCAGCAGCTCTGGTAAACAAATCAGGAGACCCAAATGGCTTGTAATGGCAGCCATTTTGATGCTTTTACCCAAACAAGAGAAGCCGAAAAGAGACGGAGGGAGAAAAAGTGGAAAGTGGATATGTGTGTTTGTTTGCGTGTGTAGGCTAGTATGAGATAAACTCAGTCAGGCTATAAAGTTCATATTTTCTATCTGTAATGAGTGTTCAGGTGTCAAAAACTTCAAAACTTTTTCATAAATAAGATAAATCAAATGTCTCCTTTTGCTTCATTTGTTTGCATTTTTCATACATAGTTACTCATTTATTTTCCTTTCAAATCAAACTATTTCCCATTGAGCGTTTTGTAATAATATTTGGTTGACTTAGAGACCTTCTTAGCCTTGATTAAATTCCTTAAAGTCAGAACATTACAATACATGACTCTGTATGACCTTAACTTACAACACCTGTGAGTAGATTTTAGCTGGTTATGAAACACTGTAAAAATGAATAATTATAATTAAGTTATTTTTAAAGCATTCCAACAATACCTCTGGGTAAGTGTCAGACGAGCTATTGCCTTTGTTAATATTCACCACAGGCAAGATTCATGATGAGTGACATGTTTGACTGTCAGAAGACACTGAGACTGAGATTAAACGTTAGAAAGAAAAATACCTACACTTGTCAGGACATAATCAGCAGAGATAAGACATACGGCTTTGTCCAAAGTGGTTGCTAAAATTCACACAAACTAAAAGTTCCTAACAGGAGCTTTGACCAACTCAAGGTAAGGTTAGGCTTATTTTAGCCTGTAACTAAATGCGCTGGAGTAATGAGTTAAAAGGTTGTCATGTGTTAGAAATGTCAAATCTCAATACAGAAACATACACATTTTAAAACATTACAAACTCAAGGGGCACATGGTTCTTAGTGATCCCAAACTATAGACTGTACCTTTGTATCTTATATTCACAAATCTGTCAAAAGATATTTTCACTGAAAAATACATTCACAGACGGAAAAAGCAGGCGAAACAGTACTGCTGTTTAAAATGATGTTTCCACCCTGCTTTTTGCAGTGTGTGAAAGAGACATGGGTTGCAAAAGCCCTGAACAAAATTGGGTTTTCTCACTAGGGCTTTGCTGTTTGAAGAAGAGCTATCAGGCTAGATTAGCTCTACCTCAGTGGTAATGGAACTGGGAGTATTTTGAAAAGCATCCTTTTCCTTACTTTAGAGCAGGAGGCGATGGGATGCTTCAGATGTGGCTGTTTGGATCCGTGAATGTAGAAAGTAAGGGCAGATTTTATCTGATTGCTAATCTTGAAGATAAAAGAAGACTCTCTATACATTTTAACCTTTTACTAACCCTGCCAGATACAAGAAGATCAAGTCAGAACTTCTATTTTATGTAGAAGTTTTGTGAAGAGGAGTATTTGAGCTTATTTTTTTTGTCCTGATTGGTAATGCCACGCAGTAATAGATACAATACAATATGTTTGGGCATACTTTTATGTAACTGTAAGAAGAAGTGTGTAAAATTGAAAGACAGCTAGTTTGAGTTAGAGAGCAACCAACCAGCCATTTGTGAAAAGAACAGGGGAGATATCTGCTCTAGAGGTTTGGTTCAGCTGTTATTGGCTACTGGTAACTAGAACTGGTCAAACATGGCATACACAAGATGTACTCACTCTGCAGATAAATAGCAAATTTTCAAAAAGTTGAAAAAGGTTATTTTTGATTATACATAAATAAAAAAATATATACTTAGAAATTAAATATATTTTATTGCTGTTTAGACAATAACTCTGCCAATAGATCCCTAAATCCCAAACCATGGGCCTGTTACTGTGTTCTTGTTTTCAAATGCTATAGCCACTCTTACTCAAAAAACAATATGCGACAAAAAATAAAACTAAAAAGTTTATTAACATTGGATATTTGAATTGAGGATTTGGTGACTGATTGTTGGACTCATTGTCCACAGTCTGTCTCCCTGTTCCTCCAGTTCCCCTTGTCATTCTCCACCTCTTCAACAGATGAACTTGGACTCAGGCCCCCTGAACCCCCTTCAATCATCAGCCCTCTACTGCATTTAAGTCCCAGTTTGTCCTTGATGCTATTTTCTTCTTCAACTAGAAACATTTTTCCTGCCTGCCTGTCGACCTGTTAATAGAGCTATTCAGGTACTGAAAACTGTCAAACTGTCAGCAATCAGTGTTTCCCACCAATATCCTTTCTATTTTTTAAGGCACTAGGATAGGAAGTGAATTCAATATTTGTGTATTGGCTCATACCAAACTGTAGGTATGTGGATTTCAGGTTTCAGAGAGAAACAAATGGAACCCAGACATCTCTCCCTACCACTCTCTGTCTATGCTTTCAAATGGACATTACATCACACCAATCTTCTTGTAACTATCTGCATTTGGGTCCTTAGCTCCTGCCTACACTACTTCCTGTGACATAATAATTTAAAAGGCTTACTGCTATAATACAAGAAGGCAAACAACGTGTTAGCAAACAACACTCTTTCCTATTGTCATCCAAGTATGCACATAATGACGGAAGTTTTTATCTCCTCAAAGATAAGTTTAAGTGGAAGGAACAAAGCAGGGTTTTTGTCATTATTGAAAGCTGCCATTTAAGGCCTTAAGAGGAAAATGTGTGAGAGTCTCAACAGGACTGACACCCGCCAGGATGACACGTGCGGGGGAAGCATTGTGCATGAAAGTATCTGTCGGTGAATTTTTTTGTGGATGATTGAAATTGCAAATGCGACTCTGTGTGTTTGCATTTGCATACACTTAGAGGGTCTCAATATGTGAATTTGCATACATGTCTATAGGCACTGTACCTGTGTTTGTGTGTGCACATTTGTCAGCCTGCTTGTCATTTTGAGACCTGTGAGAGTGAATCCTGCTGTGTGTGTGTGACCGAGGGGCTTGTAGCAACAGGAGGGGGGTAAACAAGCTGACCTTTCCAGCTTTGATCAACCTGGAGCAAGAAGCTGGGGGTTGTCAGCAAGAACATTATGAGGCAGAGGAAATAGAGTAGAAAATGGAGTCTATTCCGGCATCAGGAATGTGTGCTGCTGGGTCCGTCTGTATGTACGCTCACAGATATCTGTATCTGTTCTCATCTAATATCGCTTACCTCAGCCAGCGGTACGATGCCCTGTATGTCGGCATTGCTGATGTAGAGGTGCGAGACTTTCTCTGTTTGCCTGGAGGTTGTCTGTGAGCCAATCTGGTATTCGATGTTCCAGTGTAGAGTCTGGGTTGGCACCAGGTTGATGACGTTATCCACTTCAAATTCCAGCTGCATCACTTCGTATGACGGACTTTCCAATCTACAGAGGTGAAGAGAAGGACAAAGGTGTGTTTTAAGTTGTCTTACATTGTCTGTTAAAAAACACTCCTGGCCTAAATTCATGTTATCCATGTGATTAAATGGCCTGTTCTGCGCGTCATTTAGCGGCTGTAAATAATTTTTAAAGACATGGAATCTCCCTCTTGGCCTGAGGTTTCCATTGTTTGTATTTCTGGAGTTTTTTTACTCCGTCCCCACATCAAGTGACGAGGAACATAGGGTGTTACAGATTGTAAAGCCCCGCCCCAACCCCCATTCACACTTCCTATCTGTAGAAAACAGGGGGAAAAGAAGCAGCACAAAATACTTTTCTGATTCCTGTGTACAAAAAAAGTCTGTCATTTTGACAACTCTAAGGTCTACTGCACATTGTGCCCTCATAACTTTTTAGACTGTCATTACCTGCTTTGCCTCTCTGCCTGACAGGTATCCTGATTCAATCTGCTGCTGTGAATCAAATCCAGTGGTGTTATTAATCCCTACAATCCCTATCAACGTTCGGGGTTGGAAGTCTAGTTGAGACCGAGAGGATTGTGGTTGGATACAGAATGACTAAATGCATAAATATCTGGATTAAAATAAAATAAAATATCTATACACTGCATTCAACTGTTTGTGTTTGTGCAACTGTAGGCCGCTTTAAACTGAGAAAAATAAACCCAGCAGGTCTCAAATAAAAAGAGTATCTGAAATATGACAGTACATTTTCTGTGGTCAAGATAACAGTGAAATATGCCCTCCTACAGTTCACAGTCAGTGCAAAACAAAACGTCTACTGCTGGATTTTGGAGATAAACATTTACAACTGTCGACTGTTTCACAGCGACAAGAGAGGTGTAATGGAAATTATTTAGAAGCAGTTTAGCAACACCAAAACATGCTGATTACATGTGTGACTACCCTTCCCAACATACACACACACACAAGCCCTGCGGCTAGTGGAACATAAATTAGAGAGAAAAAAGGTAAGCAGCTGTAAATTGATTTTCAAGACAACATTTTAGTGCTCTGTCCTGAGCCCCCCCCCCCCCACACACACACACCCATACACAGATACATATAGGGGTTAAAGGCCATGACAAAGCCAATTGCTAAGGGCCTGTGATAACTGGCATGCCCCTGAGTGTGTGTGTGTGTGTGTGTCTGTCTAGGGAGATGGCGTGAGTGATGTGTTACAAAGATAGATTAAGGAGAGAAAACTGATGGGTGTCAGCTCCCCTTGACCTCTTTCAGATCCTTCCATCACGCCTGCTTTTCTTTCATCTGTCTCCACACGTCTATCTTCCTCCTTCTGTCTCTTATCAAACCCACTCTGACTCTTTTTTTTTAATAGTTAATGCTTCTTATAATAGAACAGTTTATGTCCTTATATTAGTTTATTTGGCTTTAATCACATTGAAGGATATCTTACAAATGAAATAGAACTAAAGTAACCCCTGGAGAGATGATCATTTCACTTACCTTACCCTGGGTCCACAGTTATCATGGTAAATAACAACTCATTGTGCCCTGACATGCAGTGTGTATATGTTTTACAATAGTTTAAATACAGGTCAATTACAACCATTACCAAATGGAAGCACAAAAGCATCCCACACAAAAACGTATGCCTTTTCTGTAGGTCTGTTTCAAGTCATTACCAATATACAGTATGTGACGGATCAAAGTGGCTGGTTGAGCCACTCTTGAGGGCTTTCAGTATAGCAAACGATTAGCCATGGAGGACATCCGGAAGGACTTTCTCTCTGTACATTACAATTATTTACAATAAACTAGATACTTTTGAGGTAAGAATGGAATTGGAGTTGAGAGACTATGTTGAAGAGTTGTCTGTAAGCAGCTATTGTTCTCCTGTATCCAACCAAAGCCTGCTGAAATTCAAGAGTACTGACTTCATATAAAAACCAGAAAACTTAAATACAGATGAATACAAATTATTTAAATAGCTGTTACATTGAATAAATAAAAATAAATACAAACTTGCTGATATTTCCCATTTCATGTCTTAGGATGTACAGTGCAACAATCATAACCACTGGGTTAAAGTCTGGAAACCATTGCAGTCTATGTTTAGGCACCAAAACTTCTAGGACTGGTTTGAAATGACAGAGCAGTGTTTGGTTGTAAGTTCTAAGGTATGTACTATAACCATGTAACTAAAATGATGGTTTATTTAACAAAGATACATTATTGTAAATGATAAATGGACTTGAGCTTGTATGGAGCATTTTAGTCTTCTGACCACTCAAAGTGCTTTAACACCGCATGTCACACATACCGATTCACACACATACCGATTCACACACTGATGGCAGAGGTTGCTATGTGAAGTGACCATCAGAAGTAACTAATCCCTTGGGGCGCAGTGGTTTGTGCACGCGCCCCATGTATGGAGGCATTGCACCTCCTGTCTCTCCATTAAAGGCACAACCCCCCCCCCCCCCCCAAAAAAAAATAGAAGTCTAGCTGCACAAGCTGGGGATTGAACCCCTGATCTTCCGGTTGAGGGATGACCGACTCTACCAACTAAGCCCAAGCTGCCCCAGCCACATCTAACATACTGGTTTGTTTTTTTAAAAAAGTTCTGATCTTAAAAAGCTAACATTGGTGACATGACATGTCTTTAAAACTATGTGAAATCTTACATGCTAGAATGTCAAGAATGTCCTCTATGTTACCCAATCTAGTGTTAGAAATAGTCAGCATTGACCATTGGTTCAACAGAAACAGAAAAGTGACATGCATTCTGGGAGCTGCATTGTGGAATGACACTCATCTGTAGGATAAGAGTGTTTCAAGTGCTTAACTGAAGGGCACACTAAAGAATGTAATATTTTCTATGTGGGGTTACACAGTGAGAAGATAGAGAAAACCTTGTCAACATTTTTCAATTTGGGATTTTTGGTGAGCTCCACCATGCCCTGTGTGTGTATATGTGTGTGTATCCATCAACAGGACTAGTTGTTTTACCTCCAAGGACACAGTAGCCCTATTTCATATTTTTTCAGCTAAACCTTAAAAAAAACAAAAAAACTGCAGAGGTTTGGACACATACACACGGAGACACAATGCTCTGTCACTCTCAGTCTCTGTTCCTGTCTCTCTCACCCTCACAGACACATGCACACAGGCAATGCACAAGCAGCACACTGCTCTGTGTGTCTCACACACACAAGCATGTACAAAGAACCTCCCAGACAAAGTTGAGTGTGTTTGGGTGCGGTGTAATCGCTGGAGCTGAAAAAGCAATGTGTCTGCAGTGACAGGTTCATTCAGGTGTTAGCTCCGTCCCAACCACAGGGCTCCATAACAATATAACACTGTCCTCTAGTGCATACACGTACACACATACACGCACACTCACATACACACTCCAGAAGATTGTTCACCTACACTCAAAACCGAGCAAACATTACCACTGCAGAAATTTACAATTTCTCACAGTCTTGGAGACTATTATCCTACAGGTGATGCTGACCTTCAGCTGTTACCCCTGTTACTGACACAGTGATGAAGAGTCCATGAAAGGGTACCAATGTGAGTCATGTGACCTGCTGTTGTGACAATTGGCCTTTGTAAACCAGAATTTCTATTAATGAGTAACTCAATTTAACTAAAAGGTTTTGAATGGCATGTGTCATTGGCATTACGATGTTAAAAGGACTTAACACACAACATGTAGAAGAATTACAATTACAGTTTAAAGTTTAACAATAGCAGTAGGTTTTTTTTTTCTCCACACAGTAAACCAAAATCTAGCCACATTAGAGACCTGACATTACAATGTTTTTATAACCTGCCAACTGTAGTCAGAACTGTAGCATTTGTCTTATGGTCGGGACCCTCTAATTTGAAAAGAGGTCTAATCAACATTAAAATGCCTCACTTGAGTGTTGTTTCATAAGTAACATTTGCTAAACTAACATTATCTAATGAACGCCTGCTGAATGTGGGCTCACTCATGTTATTTCACTGCGTCGTTACGAGTATGAGGTCATCGCGTGAAATACCAATACAGAAAAGCTGTGACGTCATAATGAGGTTATCATTATTTAATTGCAGAACGACAGCACCGAAGGCTCAGGTGTAAAATGAATTGCTCGCCACTGACTTTTTAAAGAAAAGTTTCTCAGCCTATGGAAGCTGTCATGGATGGATTAGCCTATAAACCCAGATAAAAGAAGATACTCCTGGCAGCACAGCACAGAGAGTCTTGTGAGACGTTCAAGCTGGACTCACTTCTTACACTCATGTGTAACTGGCCTGGCTCTTCTGGAGTCTCAGAGCTGATTAGGAGTCATGAATGACTTTTTTTGGTGTTTATCTATTTAGCCATCAATTAAACAATTTAAATTCCAGGCTTGGTCAACAGAGACACACGTTTTGAAGCTTAATTTTTACCTTAGTTTTACCCTCTATGTGTGTCCTTGAGCTGCCTCCTAGTTCAACACTCGTTTCCTTATCTTTCTGCCCACTTAATAAGTGACTTCCACATTCACACATTCACTCACACAAACACACACGCACACACATGCAGTTACCCTGAGACACGTCCAATGGCCTTGCAGTTGAAGTTGGCTACAAAGTCAAGGTCCTGTTCATCTCTCTGTCATGGCTTCAGTAACACAGCCACATAGGACTGTTTCATGCACACACACGCTTACATCATCCCTTGAGTGATGAATACGAGTCTCACTGTTAACAAAACTCACTGCTGCACTATGCAGCATGCACTGATTATTACCAGAGCGACTGAACTGACATTGATTGGATTTAGTGCCTCGGAGAGAAATTTAGCCTGTGATTTCAGTCTGTAACAGTGGGTCTAAAATGCATTTAAATAGATATATTGCCAGTGGTGATTATTATATATATAAGAAATGGTATGTTTCCCCTAAAGTGTTTAAGGTGAGTTTACCTCCCTGTAGCTCCTCAGTTCCCATTGCTGACCCCTTGCTGTTTCGTCCTCTAAAGAGACGC